ATCATATCGGGTGGTTTTTCCCACCATTCTTTTAGTTTTTTCTCCCAGTTCTCTCGTTCTTTTCTCATCTCTTCTCTGCTCTCCTCCAGCTTTCTATCAATGGTTTCCTTTGATTCTGACTCTGATTTTATTTTTTCCTCCAAAGCTTCAACTTTCTGTTTCCACTCCTGTCGTTGAGTTTCTTCCTGTTGTTTTTTCTTCCTGTCTTCTTCTTCTCTCATTTCCTGTTCTTTCTTTCTCTCCTCACGTTCCTTTCTGATGTTTTCCTCCTTTTCTTCAAGTTGTTTTTCTCTCAGTTTTCTCTCCTTTTCAATTTCTACTCTCTGTTTTTCTTTCTCTTTTTCCTCTTGTTCTCTTCTGATTCGATCCTCTTCTTTTCTTTTCTTTTCATAGATTTCTCTTTCCTGTTCGTATTCTTCTTGAAGTTTTTTCAGTTTTGTTTGTGCATCCCGTCGTCTCTGTTCATCTTCTTCGTATCGTTTTTGCCACCATTCTTTTTGTCTTTTCTCTTCATTCTCTCGTTCTTTTCTCATCTCTTCTCTGATTTCCTCCAGCTTTCTTTTAGTGATTTCTTTTTCCTCTAATTCTGATTTTATTTTTTCCTCCAAAACTTCAACTTTCTGTTTCCACTTCTGTCGTTGAATTTCTTCCTGTTGTTTACTCTTCCTGTCTTCTTCTTCTCTCATTTCCTGTTCTTTTTTTCTCTCCTCACGTTCTTTTCTGATGTTTTCCTCCTTTTCTTTAAGTTGTTTTTCTCTCAGTTTTCTCTCTTTTTCAGTTTCTGCTTTCTGTTCTTCCATTCGTCTTTTCATTTCTTCCATTTCTTCCTCATGTTTTCTTTGAAGCTCCTCCCTCTCTCTCTTCATCTCTTCTTCCTTCTCCTTCAGGATTCTCTCCATTTCTTTCTTTATTGAAGCTTCAGCCTCTTGCAGCAGCTCATTAGTGTAGCAGCTGCCTCCATTTTCCCTTCACCATGGTGTCAATCTTGGTTATCAGCTCACTGACCTGTGTGCGGTTGTGTTTATCTCGGTTATTAAACACATGGTATCTTCCTCCACAGTCAGAGATCAGCTTCTTAAAGGAATCATCACACTTCTTTTCAATGTATTCTTCAATGGATATCTCAGCATCTTCCAGTGTATCTCCTCCAGTTAAAAGAATGATGGTGAACTTCTCAAAATTCTTCCCGAAGCTTTCCTTGATAAGTTTTAATGTCTCCTTCTCCTCTGGTGTAAATCTGCCAATTTCTAACACCAACAGGAAGACATGTGGTCCTGGAGCCAGAAGACTGATGCATTTCACCATCTCCTCATGAACTTCTTCATGAGACAAACTATTGTCAAACAGACCAGGAGTGTCGACCACAACCACCTGACGACCATCAACTTCACTCTGTTCTTTCTGACAGCGTATAGTGACTGATGTTTGGCTCGATTCAACTTTAAACTCTTTTCTTCCTAGAATGGTGTTTCCTGAAGAGCTCTTTCCACAGCCAATCTTCCCCATCAGCACAATCCTGAGACAGTCTGGACTCCGTTCCTCGTCATCACCTGTGAAATATAAAGACCAGGAGTTCATTTAAATATTCAGAATTGTTACAGTATAAACTAAGACTGTAATGTAGCAGTTAAAGGGGACATATTATGCAAAAGCAACTTTTTAATCATTTGATTATGTACATTTGGGACTCTGGAGGGCCTATCAGCAGCAAAGTGTGAAAAAAAATGACTCAGTCATGTTTTTGTGGGCTGCCTCAGTCAGAATATAGGAGAGAAATCACGCAGGTTCAGAAGTGTGTAGTTTGTGACGTCACATGCTCTCCCTGTTGCCACCCACCTCTCTTTACTTCCTGTTGACTATCGGAGCTCCGCCATTGTTACTATAAAAGGCAAGCTAGCGGAGAACAAGCAAGTCCAGCCTGCAGCCTGCAGCCTAATGTCTGGGCAAAGGCCTCAGCAGACAAACTGTTCAGTCATTGGCTGCACAGCCCAACACTTATTTACATATGTACATTTATGTAAATTATTGTTTACGGCAATGTCCGACTAGAGTCACAAAAACCGGAATGTGTGTGTGAACAACCTCGGTCAGTACAACAGTGGACTGACTGACAGACTGTTCCTGAAAGAGGGATTGTACCAACTGTCTGTGGAGAGACAGCAGAGGAAGTCACTGGAAGGATTTTTACTAATTTATACTTTTTCATTGTTCTGTAATGCTAGCACATGCTAACCGCTGTTAGCTGCAGGAGCCTCAGTGATGCTAACGTAGTTATTGTTTGTTATTGTTTGTTAAATGTTTGTTAAATGTTTGTCATTGTTTGTAAAATGTTTGTTATTGTTTGTTAAATGTTTGTTATTGTTTGTAAAATGTTTGTTATTGTTTGTTAAATGTTTGTTATTGTTGGTTAATGTTTGTTATTGTTTTTTATTGTTTGTTAAATGTTTGTTATTGTTTGTTAAATGTTAAAAGATGAAGATGAAACTTAAAGATGAAGTTAATGTATTAACCAGCTGGTGCAACCCCTGCTGATATTTTTATAGAGATTCACACAAAGTTTATTATAAGTTTATACAGAGAATCACAGGCTTCGTGTCAGGGGGGCTCTGTAACTCTGTTACTGTTGTGGGTTTTGTGTCGGGGGTAACTGGCTTTATGTTGGTCTGTATTTAGTTAAAGTGCTCAGTCAGTAATGTGTTTGTGTCGCTGTTAGAAAGAACAGAAAACCTCCGAGTGAACAAACTGTAGCTGCTCATCAGCTGTTAGCTCGCTGAGCTAGCGCTAGCTTTGTTATTCCAGAGCCATTGTCCTGCTCTGCTCTGTGTGTGTGTGTGTGTGTGTGTGTGTGTAAATGTACCGGAGGTAAAGATAGAGCTACCCTGAGAGAGAAATAGTCAGACTGTGATCAAGCCTCCTTAGAAGCTAACAGAATACACAGAGTGAGTTATGGTGATTATTGTAACTTTATACTGACGTGCTAACGTTATCTCAGCTAGCGCTAGCTTTGTTGTTTCTCTGCTTCCTTCAGGTGTGTGTGTGTGTGTGTGTGTGTGTGTGTGTGAGTGTGTGTGTGTGTGTGTGTGTGTGTGTGTGTGTGTGTGTGTGTGTGTGTGTGTGTGTGTGTTACGGTGTGTAAATGAACTTGATCAACGTGCACTGGAGTTAACACTAGAGCTCCAGTGAGAGAGAAACAGTCAAACTGCAGGGATTCATTAGTTTAGTAATATTGTGTAACTTTGATTAGCACCCAGCAGCTGGGGTTGCTCACTAGGCTTTATGTGGAGTCAAACCGACGAATAAAAGTTTTCTGATCTGTTTATTTAGCGTTACTGAAGTACTGCTATTACTGAGGATATAAGTGTAGGTCCAGTGTAACATCCTATACTCATATAATCTCCTATTGTATTATAAACACTGAGGCTCACTGCTAAATGTCTGTTATTGCACCGGGAACTTACAACATCAGTTACAGTCAGTAAATGTCCTGTGGGTGTGTGTGTGTGTGTGTGTGTGTGTGTGTGTGTGTGTGTGTATCTGCTGCCATTAGATAGACATTGTGTTGGTAACCTCAGACTGTTTCAACAACACATCACTACAGTTAGCTGCAACAAGGAACCACCAGAGACACTGCTTTATTATTTTATTTTATAACATAGGACTACTGTGAGCCACAATGAGCTGTTGTACTGTATTATATTATACTGTATTATATTATACTGTATATTATATTACACTGTATATTATATTATACTGTATATTATATTACACTGTATATTATATTATACTGTATATTATATTACACTGTATATTATATTATACTGTATTATATTATACTGTATTATATTATACTGTATTATATTACACTGTATTATATTACACTGTATTATATTATACTGTATATTATATTATACTGTATATTATATTACACTGTATATTATATTACACTGTATTATATTACACTGTATATTATATTATACTGTATTATATTATACTGCATTATATTATACTGTATATTATATTATACTGTATTATATTACACTGTATATTATATTATACTGTATATTATATTATACTATTATATTACACTGTATTATATTATACTGTATATTATATTATACTATTATATTACCCTGTATTATATTATACTGTATATTATATTACACTGTATTATATTATACTGTATTATATTATACTGTATTTATATTACACTGTATATTATATTATACTGTATTATATTACACTGTATTATATTACCCTGTATTATATTATACTGTATATTATATTACACTGTATTATATTACACTGTATTATATTACACTGTATATTATATTATACTGTATTATATTACACTGTATTATATTACACTGTATTATATTATACTGTATATTATATTATACTGTATTATATTACACTGTATATTATATTACACTGCATATTATATTACACTGTATTATATTATACTGTATATTATATTACACTGTATTATATTACACTGTATATTATATTACACTGTATTATATTACACTGTATTATATTATACTGTATATTATATTACACTGTATTATATTACACTGTATTATATTATACTGTATTATATTACACTGTATTATATTATACTGTATATTATATTACACTGTATTATATTATACTGCACTATATTACACTGTATTATATTAAACTGTATATTATATTACACTGTATTATATTACACTGTATTATATCATACTGTATTATATTACACTGTATTATATTACACTGTATATTATATTACACTGTATATTATATTATACTGTATTATATTACACTGTATATTATATTACACTGTATATTATATTATACTGTATTATATTACACTGTATATTATATTACACTGTATATTATATTATACTGTATTATATTACACTGTATATTATATTATACTGTATATTATATTATACTGTATTATATTACACTGTATTATATTATACTGTATATTATATTATACTGTATTATATTACACTGTATTATATTATACAGTACAGTACAGTTGGTTACTGAGCAGTTTTTAAACCACATAAACAAGTTACTTTATTAGATGAGTGATTCCTTCAGTTATGTTGACATGTTGTACAGGATAAAGTATTCCAGGTTTCTGTTTCCATGGTCTCAGTAAACTAATGTGTATAAAGAATATAACAGATGGGAGGTTACAGTAATCATTATACTATTACTCTGATTACTTTGGTACATTTACTGGCTGTTTCTTCACTAGAAACAACTGCTTGACTAATGTTGTTAATATTATGTAATATATAATATGTTTAACTTCACTGGGCTCTGTAGACTGTAGGTCACTGCTCACTGCTGTACCTGTAAGGACAAGCATAAAACACAATGTTGGTTCTCATAGTTAAGGTATAAACACTTACATTATGTGATAGATAGAGGTTAATATATATATATATATATTAGTTATATGTACGTATATGTAGTTAATATATCAGTATTTACCTGAGGAAAACGTCACAGAAAGCTGTAATCCTGATTGTTGATGTTGTTCATTTCTCTGTGATTTCAGGTCAGACTCCCGCTCTAACCTGTCCGCTGGTGAACTTTTTGCTTTAGAAGCAGTTATTGAATTAATATTGATAAACTCAGTAACAGTGAGGAGCTACCTGCCGGCAACAAAGGGGAGGGGCCAGAGCGTCATCCGCGTGAGCCGCGTCATAATGCCGACCAATCAGAGCAGACTGGGCTTTTCGGGAGGGGGGTCTTAAAGAGACAGGAGCTAAAACCGAGCGATTCAGACAGAGGCTGAAAAGAGGAGCTCAGCTATAGGCAGTATGAGAAAAATAATGTGTTTGTTGAACATTAAAACATCTAAACCTATTGTAGTAGAGCCACAAAATACAATTATGAACCTGAAAAAGGGCATAATATGACTCCTTTAATATAACACAGAACAGAAAATAAAGTTTATAAACAAAGTACTTACCACTGATCTTGTTCTTCTTTATCAGCCTCTCAAGTTGTATGACTTTATCCATTTGTGCATGTGCAAATGTTTCAGTTGTATAGCAGTGTGGTTTATTTTTAGTATTTTCTTCCACCATGTCCAACAGTTCTGGGATCTGCTGTTTGTTCTTGATGTTGAGAACAACATATCTTCCTCCACAGCTCTGACAGAGCTCCTGGATGTCTCTGTTTTCTTTCACAAAGTTAACAACAGCTGGAGCTGTAGGATCTGAGTCCACAGTGAACAGAATCATGGTGAAGTCATTGACTCGAGAGCTGAATGTGTTCTGGATGGTCTTTAACTCTCCCTTGTCTTCATCAGTGAGGGAACCCACAGGTAGGACCAGGATGAAGGCATGGACGCCCTCAGGATCACAGAGGGAGATACTCCTGAGTGATTCCTCCATCACTGCCTCCTGAGGTTCTCCATACAAGGCAGGCAGCTCCACCAGGGAAACCCAACGTCCACACACCTCTCCCTGATGTTTAACACACTCTGATGAGTTGGAGACTGAATGAAACTCTGTCTGACCTAAAATGGCCTTGGCTGCTGAAGTCTTCACTGCTCCTCTCCTCCCACACAGAACCAGGTTTAAAGCTGGTTTGATGAGTTCAGACTCAGGCAGTGGGGTTTCATTGCTCATATTTGCTGTTTCTTTAATCTTCTCCATCAATGATCTGTGGTTGTCTTCAACCATGTTGTAGTGTCTTCCTCCACAGTCTTTAAGGAGTTCATTAACAGTTTTACTCTTTTTCCCCTCATGTGTCATGATGACCATTGAGTGTTTTAAAGCATCTTGACCAAACAAACTCAGGATGAACTTCAGTGTTTGTCTGTTCTCCTCAGTGAAATCAGAAGGTTTCACTAACAGCAGAAGAACATTTGGTCCAGGAGGACACAGAGTCACACAGTTCTTCATCTCTCTTCTCACGGCCTCCACAGACAGACTGAAGATGTCTGGAGTTTTCACCACTATTAATGGTTTTCCTCTCCACTCTCCACAGGTAGCCACACATTGCCTGGTTGGGGAAGTTTTTTGGTAATTAAAAGCTTGGTCCCTGATGATGATGTTACCAAGTTGTGTCTGTTTGTCCTCACATTTTCCCAGCAGCACAATCCTGAATCTAGAGGCTGTAATACAACAGAGAGAAAGATCAAATGTCAACATTTTATTAAACTGCAATGTCGCATTATATTATTCACAATTAACGAAATGATGTTCATATAAAGCTGTTTTACAAAAGAACTTAAATTTGTCAGTTGAAATTATTGTGGCAGTGATCAGTGAATATGGAGGATGGGAATGTATGTTAGCCTTAACTAGCTAATTTATTTGTTGAATATGAACATTTGGAACATGTTAAGAAAAGGCAGCATCACATTTCACCTTAATCATTTTTTCCAATGCAAAGCTAAATATTAATGTAACAGATTGTAAAGATTCTAACACATGAACATTTGAATGTTTTTATTGAATGTTATTGCTGTCAGTGGTGACGAGTTGTGGGGTTTGTTTGGGTTAATCCTGCCATTGGATGATCACCTGGTGAAGTTGATGTTGGGTCCTCAGGTTCACAGCAGACATGATCTCCATTATTCTCCTTCACAATTTGACCCAAGCGTGTTAACAGCTCTGAACGTTCAAGGTTCTTCTGCCTCAAATATCTGTATCTACATTTTATGATCATGTCTTTTAATGGAGGACGTTCCAGGTATTTTTCTATCAACCCTGGACTCTCCTCTCTGGGTGTTGATATCAGAACCAGAGAATGATCAAATGATTGATCACTGAAGAGTTCAAGGATTGATTGTAGTCTCAGTTTGTGTTCCTCAGTGAAGTCTTCAGGCTGTAGAACCAGCAGGAACACATGAGGTCCAGGATCAGAGAGTCTCACACAGTCTTTCACATGTTCTGTCAGTTTGTGATGAGAGATGTTGGGATGCAGCAGATCTGGAGTGTTGATGAGAACTATTTCTTTCTCCTCTAACTGTCCATTGACCGTCACTATGTCTGGTTCTTCCTCAGTGTTGAACTTAGTCTCTCCCAGTATGAAGTTCCCCACTGAACTCCTCTCAGACCAGCTGTTCCCCAGCAGAACAACCCTCAGCTCAGACACTGAAAAACAAAGATTTAGAAAAGATGTAAACTTTCTGTTACTTACTTACAGAAATGCTGTAAACTCAGATATTATTAAATATCAGGATAACATAGTTCAGTTTGACTCACGGTCAGGTGGCAAATGATGTTTGCTGTTTCTGCGCTTCCGCGGACGCAGATCATCTGTGATTGAAAGGACACAGCATTAATTTACTTTAGAGTCCACTTGGATCAGCTACAGTATTTGATATATATGACACACAGATCATTGGCCAGATGCAGTTCCACCACTCGGAAGAAAAGTGATTCGTAATAGAACAGCTGACATTACCATTTATAGACATTACAAAGTGCTTCATAATTCAGGATCAAGATCATTAACAGGGTGATGATGGCGAATGTAAATAAAAACAATGATAAAATGAATTCTCTCATAAATAATTTACAGTTTGTAGAAGTTGCATAGTGGACCAGGATTGACTTTTAAAACAGACTATTTGTAAAAATCCGTTCCACAAAATATGATTTTCACCAAGCACAGAGAAACTTTCCACTTTCAGCAGATGAATGTGAAAACATCCTTCTGCACAGACATCATTCAGACATCTTACTGTAGGAACAAGAACACTGGTTTCTGACTGGAGGAGACTTTAATATAAAATAGTATACCTCCACTTTATATTGTTCCATGTGATCATAGTCCTATAACATACACCCATGTGTTTACAATCCCTTTATAATGTGATACTATATGTAATCCACCTGCTCATTACAAAAAAAACACTTTTACGTCAGGTGTCCCACAATAACACTCGTAGACAAAAGTTAAATGGAAGACCATTCAAACAACAACCCAAACAAATCTGTAACCCAGGTTAAAAGTTAAATAAACTGAATAATCTAATAAAATACCCTGTCAACAATATAATGATATAAGGGAAACAGATAACATGGAGGACATAAATAACCAGGTCAAACAAAGTCACTTCCTCTTCCTGAATTCAGACAGCAGCATGCTGAGACAACTCCAAACAACTCAAATGATGCTTGCTTAAATAGGAAAAACTAGAAAAAGAAACAATCAGCAGTCAGGTTATTTTTGGGACTTGAAAGATGGTCCTTGGATGGCGAGCTACCCAACTGGACAAACTAAATCAACCACACAGTGTGGTAGGAAATGTACTGAACTGTTTATTTATTTTGGTTGTTTGACACTTATACAAATATTATTAAAGACTTACATGTTGTCTTTGTTTTGGTATTCAGACACATTGGAATCCTAAAAAACCTAAAATCTTCTGATTAAGCCTTGGTCATAAATGATGTTAAACTGATCCTATATTTGCTACAAATCAGTCAGTCAATCAGTTTGTGTTGTGAATCCACTAAACTTTAATGTTTTATCGCCACCTAGTGGGACTCTGTGGGCTCTGCACACTTTGACAAAGAACACAAAACAACAAACAACACAAAAAAACCAAAATATATATATAAAGCGGATTGAACAGTGACTGTGGTCTGTCTGTCTGTCTGTCTGTCACTGAACTACAGTTTATAGTGGTTCTCATATTTCCTGCTGTGTTCCATTAAAATGAACAATCAGCTGAGTTGAATTCAGACTCACAGACTGGATTTAAGGTCTGAGGACTGCTGTGCTTTTCTTATATTTATAATATGTGGACAGAGAGAGAAGACAGTCTTTTATCCAGACTAATAAAGTGTGACTGGACTCACCTGGTGCTGCAGTCGCCATGATGTCAGTGTGCTGGAAACATCAGAGACCCATTCAACTGAAGACCAACTGCTGCTTTAACAACCTGAAGGAAGAAGAATTAGAATTGAAATGATCTTACTCATTCACACAGCAAAATGTTTGTACAGAGCAAACTGCAGTCTCAGTCAGCTTCACAACATAAAAATGATTTCTCTGAGCAACACGGAGCCCAGTTGTGTTTCTTCAGACAACAATGTGAAGGCCTGTGTGTGTTTGTGATGAAAAAAAGTGTCTGTATTTCCCTAAAATTAAGGAAGGGGAAAAAATCTTCAATTTGATTCAAATGAAATACTGATATCTATGTTCAAGATAAAACTTCTGCTTTTGTTGTTATTTATTTGCCCTTTTGTGCCAGGGAAACAAAGAAATCCACAAAGATGAGAATCTCTGCCTATTTCTCTTCTCATCTGAGATTTCAGATGCAGATCTGAACAGCCGCTCACTCTTTGTGCTGCTGAATGGAACACATCAGTGTTTGAGTGTTAAGTTGTGCCAGTGCTGGAAAACGGAGGTGATTTTATTGTCAGTGTCTGACTGGAAATAACCAACATAACATTTAGACAGAGCAAGATTAATTATTCTCATCTTATTTGCAGAAAGGTCAATATCAACAAGGAGAATATCGGCCGATACTGATGTTCAGCATCCCTAAATTCATGCGACACAGGGTGAGTAACTGATAACTGATATTTTGGGTTCCTATATGTTATTTAGCGTGTGACAATGACACAAACAACACTGACAACACAGCCCATCAGCCCAAGTGTCCGTCACAGTGGATGGCCGTAGACGAGGTTGCACGACCGTCTGGTTTAACAGTAGAGCTGTTAAGCTGCACTTGGTTTGATGAAGGTAAAATGTGTGACAAGCAGCATTATAATGATATTAAATATAAATAAGATTTAGATTCTGGTGGTTTCACAGTATATCACGGTATGCTTTGTGTTGCAAACAGAACCTTTATATAGGTTTGTATTGGTTTATTCTACTGCCAGGAGTATACAAAATGTAAAGATATTTACATTTACAGCCATCATGTATACTGAATACTGAAGGCTTTGATTACTATAGGGTTACTGTAGGGCTGCACTGTAGTAAAAACAGAGCTCAATAAAATAAATGCCATCAACTTTAACATTGCTTCCTTTTTAAAACTTAAGATTTTACAATAGTTGTATACACACTATAAACTGAAATACTCAGTATGTATGTAAGTATTCAGAGATATTTCTCAAATTTCTCTATTGTACAAGAAACAAATGAGTTGTTCCAGCTCTGCACTGGTCTGTATATATGAACAACTTAACACATAATAGATATAAAACATGTATTATCTCTATGATGCAGATCAAAGCTGTCTAATTAATGAGACTGAGTCTCTCATATGTAGTTTAGGTAAAAAAAAAAAAAATATGGACATTTATACTATTAAAAAATGTCTGAGCAGCTCTACTTCCTCCTCCTCTCATAATCTCTAAAATGGCGTCTCCTCCCTTCAGCCTAAAAGTTTCTAGAAGCTTTATTCCCAGTGTGTCAGTAAATCTCCTCATTCCAGAGAGATTGTGCAGATTAAACACTGACTGAAAACATATGAGGAGCTCTCGGTTGAGCCCAGAACACACAGACAACAGTGGACTGACGGAGGAGGGTTCACTCACCTGCTGGATGTCTTGCTGTGACACAACCATCAGTGAAAGTGAAAGTTAAAAACACTCACTGGGTCAATGGTGTCTCTGTAGATCGGAGACTCTGAATGGGTGGGCTTACTATCAATCATTGTTTTAGTTGGCCAATTAGAGGCTTACAATCCTCTTTTTAGTCCAGTCCCATTTCTAATTCCGGGAATACATTTAGGAAGTAGTGATGGGAATTAATGCTTTTTAGAGAGCCGTCTCAGCTAAAAAGAGTCGGCTGCTGCCGGGTCCCAAGTGGCTCCTCTATATTTTTTTTGCTTAAATTAATTTATTTCCAAATCATGTGTAAAATGAATATCTAATGTAAATACATGCATTATATCAAATGTTTAGTATTTATATGGATTTATTAATATACTCAACATGGAACAGAGTGCTACAAAAAGCAAAGACCCATCTTAATTAGACAAAAGCTGCTTGATAGAAATGTTTAACTTTGCACAGTCTGCACTCTGCCTTTGAACTATCACATTAAAATGTGTCCAAACTTTACGTTTCCTGTCACTCATTTTCCTCGCCCTTTCCAGTGTGTAGTCTCTGTCTATGTAGCGCCAAGGTCTCTCGCTCTGTCACGTCTCCGTCCCACCGGTTCACGTGCTCACTGTGCCGTGTGTGTCTGTAACCCCTTCCTCCCCCTCCTGCTCAGTGTAGATACACAGATGCCGCCACACATCTTGACCAATCACGCGGCTTTAACAGGAAAAAATGGGAAAATCTGGGAAAAAAATCTGGATCTGGCTCCCAATCAGGAGCCGGCTCCCGTCGTTCACTTCAAAGAGCCGGCTAAGGGCTGGACACCTGGGCATGGTGAGGGTGCAAGAGGTATCTCGTTAGTTCAGATAAAGAGAAAAAGCAAAAGATCTGCTCTGTTTTTCTCTGAATGAGATATTGATTTAGAGATATTTTGTCATAATAAAAATATCTGCTCTATTTTCCTGAATACCTCCAGCACGCTCTCCGTGCTCTGAACCTAACACCAATCCTGTTTCCAGCCTCCAGCGAGCTCTTGCAGGCTCCTCGCTTTATAGACTATACCCATGCTGTGTGTCCCCCAGAGCTGCTCCTGACCTCCTCTGCTAGGGGTCCCTCCTAACTGACCTGTAAACCATGTAAACCATTTACCACACAGTCACATCTGACATGCCAGTGCTCGCACTACAATCCTCCCTCATTTAAAACTGTTTGCTCCATCAGTCCAGTCCTCACAACATTATAAAATGTTCTTTGTCAATACAATGTGAACCGAAGTCTTCAGGCTCTGACTGCAGCTTTAAGTCTCACATTATTTACTGAGAGATGTGGATCCATATTGCCCAGTAATCCGCAATTTAAATTCAATATTTAATCAATAGTGTAAGTGTGTGATGCAAAAACCCATCGAACACTTTTTAAACCTTACAGCTGACACTTCAAACAGAGAACAAGTCTGAAGGTGCAGTGGAAACACTTCTTATCACTGATATAAGTCAGAATAATATATCTGTAATCCCTGCTGCAGTAAAATGTATATTAGACATCATTATGCAACATTAAAGTTCAAATGTATTGAA